TGGAAAAGCTAAACATTGCTGTACTCGTCCGCCCACCCTGGAAAATTGGAGGAATTCTTCCCTGCCGAACAATATCCTCAGTCATTTTACCAACACTTCAGCCGTGATGTTCTTGAGGCTGCTCTCAATGTATGCTCTTTTGTGATTTGTCTGATAATTTGTTGGTTAGTTGATTGAATCATGTTTCTTTGTAATAGACACCAAGTGAGCTGCTAGATAGGCTGTTACAAGGGAATCAAAGCCGCAGGGAATGTTCAATATAGCCACCCAAGAGCAGATAAAGATACTGAGCAAATGATCCACTACGCCTAGTGAGAATGAGGAGGGGTTCACCTTCAACTTATTTTCCCAAAAGCCTACATACTCGAACCAAAACGGAAAATTCTTCTAGGCTTGCCCTCGTGAATTCGAGCTACTCCGGGATTTGGATACCGGCGTCGTAGTACTCGAACTAAACAAAATAAACTCAAAACTAGTTCCAATACAATTCACGTCGTCATGCTAATCAAAATAATTAAATGAAACCTTTTTTTTTTTTTGGGAGGGATCAATCTTTGTGCCGCAATACAATACAAAGTCTACATTCGTGATCATTGTCACAGAAGGAAGCGGGTACGTGGAAATTGTTTGCCCTATTGCTCCTAAGAAAAGCAACCAAGGTAAAAAGGAGGAGGAGGATGAAAAAGCCCAAAGGGAAATAGAAGAGGAAATTGAACGGAGGGAAAGAATGGTGGACACTACTCGAAAATGAGAGTCCTATTATCTTCCGGCGACGTAATAATAAGTCCGGCAGGCATCCGGTCACATATTTCACACCCGAAGACCAGCACCTGAGGTTCATAGCCTTCGGACTCTACCACCAGAACGACACGAAGATCTTCATAGCCAGGAAGGACAACGTGGTGAAGCAAATGGATAGTGCGGCGAAGGAGCTGTCCTTCGGGGTGCCGTCGAGTTTGGTCGATGAGGTATTCAACAACCCGCCAGAGTATTACTTTGTGTCTCGACAGAGCCAACAACGTGGATCTGAAGCCTCGAACCTGGACTTTGCTCGTTTGCTATAGCCGCCGCAGTTGTAGTTTGATTTCCCTTTTCTGGTGTTTTTCCTTTGATTAAAATAAATCTGCTGTTTTCATCTATTAAAATATTAATTGAGATTGCCATACGGACTTCTTGGGATGTAAAAATTGTACTTCATTTTACGGTTGTTCTTTTGTGTTTTAAAATTATTTCATTTAAATTATTTTTTTTAAAATCAATAACTTTTATAATGTACATTTTCTTTATATCTTTTAAAGTTTTTAAAATTTAATTTTTATTATTTTAATTTTTACACACTCCTTATATCCACATCGTCAGCTTTTATCTACGTGGTCGTACCGTTCCCAAATTAATTACTTAATAATATAATTCATTAATCTTTATTATATTAACAATTCAATAATATAATTCAAATTCAAATAATAAATTCAATATATTAATTACAGTAATTAAAAAAAGATAAAGTTCATAAATGATTACATTATTATAGGATTAATTTATTAAGTCCCTTAACTTTAAAAAGTTATAAAATGATCCTTCGACTATGGGAGTTACTTTGTTGAGTCCATTGACTATTAAAAGTTACAAAATGGTCACCCGACTATTCTTTATATTCCAAATTTATTATTTCTCATTAAAAATGTGATGACAGTCTGAGTTGTACGTTAACATACTGTCTGAGATATGATAAAATATTATCCATAATCTCAAATGACTATCATATCTCAATCAGCATGTCAACGTCCAACTCAAATGATCATTATTTTTTTAATGGAAACGGATGAGTTTGGAACATAATAAATAATTGAGCGATCATTTTCTAACTTTTAATAGTCGATGACTCAACAAAGCAACTCTCTATAGTTAAAGGACCATTCTGTAACTTTTAATAATAAAGATACTTAATAAAATAATATTATATAATCAGAGACCATTTGTATACTTTATCCTTAAAAAATAATGAAATAATAGAGACAATAATTACAAGTAAGAAATTCTTTTAAATAAAAAATAAGCAGTCAACAACTCTAATATAATTAAATATTTTCTAATCTTCAACCAATAAGAAAATATTACAGTCAAGGTGACGAGTACGTGTTTTCTCCTAGTTTTGCTCTCCTCTCTGCTGCTTTCTTTTGCCTTGCCTTGCTCCGCTGCTGATCATGGAATCATCAATCCTTTCTCTTTCCCTCGAAGAAAATATGGGTATGGTCGATACCAGGAAGACCATGGCAGTTTATGGGTTCTCCACTGTTTATGGGTCATCCTTACCATCACCAAAACTCCATAAATATAAAATCCTTAATATCCAAATCCCTACTTTCTAATTTCAATTTATTAACCCAAACGGTCCCTGGTCATCTCTGGACATCATCGTCGTCGAACATTTGAATTTTGATTGGAATAGAATGGTGATTCGAATGGTGTCGATGGCATTTGATCGGGGTCAACCCCGATATTGATGTTAGTGGCGGTGACGATCACCGTTGGCTAGCCGATAGACTTTTGGAAGGAGAAAAGGGGAAGGGGATGTCACACGGGAGGGCTATTGTTTTTTTTAACAAAAAAATATTTTTTAATATTTTAAATAAAATTTTAAAATTATCAGAACGTAACACATGTTACTTAAAGTGAATTTTTAATAGCAGTTAACGTCCGGGCACCTAAAAGTATAACGTTTGAAACATTAGGCACCTATTTTTAGCAAAAAAAATCTTTAGGCACTAAAATATTTTTTGAGGTATAATTTAGACACTTATTTTTGTATCAAGCCTTTTATATATAAGCCTAAAATTAAAATGAATTTCCTTTTTCTAATATTTGCGAATTTAAAATTTTTAAGTTTTACTCGAACTCAAAACAAAAAAAGTAAGCTTAATTCGAATTTAAAATATTCTCAAACTTAGCTCAAAGTTGACAGAGGGAAAGGGAGGGGACGAAAGGTTGGTGGATTTTTTTAGAAAATATTTTTAAATATAATAATTCATTTTTAAGTTTTTTTTTAAATAAAATCTTCAAAATTATTAGAATAATACACATGTCACTTAGTGAGATTTTTAACGACGATTACGATTGGACATTTAAAATAGTAACATTTGTAACGTTATACACTTGAATAGACCAAAAAATAGTTTATGCACCTAAATGTGAATAATTTAAATGAATTTTCTTTCTCTGGTGATTGCGAGTTTAACATTGTTAAGTTTCACTCGAAACCAAAAATTTAAGTTCAATTTTAATTCAAAATATTTTCAAACTTAGCTTGAATTCAAGAGAGGGAGATGAGAGGTTGGGGGAGTTTAAAAAATATTTTGTTAAAATATAATAATTTATTTTTAAGTTTTATTTTCAATAAAAAACTATAAATTATAAAAAATACGACACATGTCACTTAATGAGATTTTTTAACAACTGTTACGGTCGGACACTTAAAATAATAACATTTGCAACTTTAGAGACTTGAATTGACTGATAAATGATATAGTTTGGGCATTTATTTTTATATTAAGCCTAAAATTAAAATGATTTTTTTTTTGTGTTTGCGAGTTTAAAATTGTTAAGTTTTACTCGAACTCAAAACCAAAAATTTAAATTCAATTCGAACTCAAAATATTTTCAAACTTAGCTCAAATTCGAGAGAGGGAGGGGAAGGGAGGTTGGGGTATTTTTTTAAATATAGTAATTTATTTTTAAGTTTTTTTTAAACAAAAGTTATTAGAATATGACACAGATCAATTAATGTGGGTTTTTAATGAAAGTTATGGTCAGACATTTAAAATAATAATGTTTATAATGCTTGATACTTGAAATATTCTTAAAATATTTAAGCACAATTCAAACTTAAAATATTCTTAAACTTAATTCGAATTCGAGAGAGGGAGAGGGAGTTGGAAGAGACGGGAGGTTGGGGGACTTTTTTTAAAAATATATTATTTAAGATATAATAATTTATTTATTTTTTTAAAATAATTTTTTTAAAATTATCAAAATATGACACATGTCACTTAATGAGAATTTTTAATGGTAAAATAGTTTAGGCACCAAAATATAAAAATGATATAATTTGGGTATTTATTAAAAATATAAATTTTTATTTTTATGTTATTTTTTTTAAAAATAAAATATTATAAAATGTTTAGTTAAAATTATTAAAAAAATTTAAAATTAAAATAAAAATTAAAATATTTTTTTATAAATATTTTAAGTATTATTTTATTTTTAAACTAGATTTTAAAACTAACTTTTGAATAGAAAAGATTTTTTAGTTTTCAATAATTTTAATTAAAATTTCAAGAATGTTTTTAAAAATATTATAAATAATTTTAAATCTGTATTTTATACAAAATTTATAAATCAAATTAAATATCAGTTATTTTTAACATTTTTCACTAATTTATATAATTTTGGCTTACTTCTTTCCATTTATTTTCATTTTAATCCTAAATCTATAAAGTTAACTGCAATCGAATGGAGTTAGGTAAGAACTCGTCTAATCCCGATCAAATTACAATCCTACCCCTAAAAGATTGACTTTTCATCCCTACTACCCCCAACAATTCAAGGTTCAAAGTCAGACAAGTCAAAAGAATTTCCATCAGCAAAACGACGTGGTTTTCGCTCGGTAATATATAAAGGAATGTTAAAGAAATACGCAATCGAAAATGTTAATTTTATTTTAATATTTTTGATATAGAACTACTTAAAATATTCATTTTATAACTTAAAATATTAATTTTTTTAAAGTTTTCAGTTACAACCGTAAATATTATAAAATAAATAATATTTTCAATTATAATTAAAAATATTAAAAGATTAATATATTAGATAATAAAATTAATATTTTAAATAATACACTACCAAAAATATTAAAAAAATATTAATATTTCTAATTACTTCTTTCCTTAACCATAAGCTACCGAAATCAATAGGCTGCCATGATAAATAAATGTAGCATTAACTTCAAGCCAAATATAACCTCAGAATTCTGCAGTCATGGTGACGAGTAAGCGTTTTCTCCTAGTTTTGCTCTTCTCTCTGCTGCTTTCTTTCGCCTTGCTTTGCTCTGCCGCTGATCCTTTCGGCCGAAGAAGCAAGGTGGACCCTCAGGGGGAGTACCGGGAAGAAGACGAGGAGAATGAGGAGGAAAGCTACAACCCTTTTTTATTCCCTCGAAGAAAAGATGCATACGGTCGTTACGAGGAAGAAAATGGCAGTTTATGGGTCCTCCTCAAGTTTTACGACAAGCATCTTATACTTAAGGCCTACAACGAGTATCGAGTTGCCTTTCTAGAAGCAAATCCCAGCACTTTTGTCCTCCCACACCACTGTGATGCCGACAGAATTTTCGTCGTTACGAACGGAAAGGGAACGCTCACGCTCTTGACTGATAAGGACAGAGAATCCTACAGTTTAGTCCCTGGAGTTGTTGTAAGAGTTCCAACAGGAACCACTGTGTATTTGGTGAACCAAGACGACATGGAAAAGCTAAAAATTGCTGTACTCGTCCGCCCTGTTAACAATCCCGGGAAATTCGAGGAATTCTTCCCTGCCGGACAATATCCTCAGTCATTTTACCGACACTTCAGCGGCGATGTTCTTGAGGCTGCTCTCAATGTATGTTTTTTCACCGCTATTATCAGTTCTTTTGTCTGATAATTTGACTGAATCGTGTTTCTTTGTAATAGACACCAAGTGATCAGCTAGATAGGCTGTTACAAGGGAATCAAAGCCGGCAGGGAATGTTCCGTGTAGCCAGCCAAGAGCAGATAAAGACATTGAGCGAAGGGGCCAGAACGCCTAGTGAGAAAGAAGAGGGGTTCGCCTTCAACTTATTTGCCCAAAAGCCTAAATACTCCAACCAAAACGGAAAATTCTTCGAGGCTTGCCCTCGCGAATTCGAGCTACTCCGGAACTTGGATGCCGGCGTCGTAGGACTCGAACTAAACATAGTAAACTCAAAACCAGTTCCAATACAACTCACCTCGTCATGCTAATCAAAAGCTTAAATCAAACCCTTTTTTAATTCTTTTTTCAGGGATCAGTCTTCGTGCCGCACTACAATACAAAGTCTACATTCGTGATCGTTGTCACAGATGGAGACGGGTACGTTGAAATGATTTGCCCTAGTCTTTCTAACCAAAGCTCCCAAGGAGAAGAAGAGAAATCCCGAAGAGAAGAGGAAGAGGAAAAGGAAGAGGAGGAGGAAAAGAGAGGTGGAGAATACGCGAAAGTGAGAGTCCGATTGTCGGCCGGTGACACATTCATAGTTCCAGCAGGCCATCCGGTCACATATTTTGCATCCGAAAACCAGCACGTAAGGTTTATAGCCTTCGGACTCTACCACCAGAACAATACGAGGATCTTCATAGCAGGGAAGAACAACGTGGTGAAGCAAATGGATAGCGCCGCGAAGGAGCTCGCCTTCGGGGTGCCGTCGAGTTTGGTCGATGAGGTATTCAACAACCTGCCGAAGTCTTACTTTGTGTCTCGACAGAGCCAACAACGTGGATCTGAAGCCTCTATCCTGGACTTTGCTCGTTTGTTCTAGTTGCTGCAGTTGTAGTTTGATTTATCTTTTCTGGTGTTTTTCGTTTGATTAAAATAAGTATAGTGTTCTCAACCATCCCCGCAGCCATAGCTTCCAGCATATTATCGCAAACAATAGGTTCCGATCATGTTCTTTAATTGCATACTTATTAGCAATTGCTATGGTTGCCTTTAACCATTGCTTGAAAGGAAGTGCCAGAAATTCCTCATCATGCTTGATTACAGATTTCTTGATTCTCTTAGTGGCTCCACAGAACCGTAAACCGCCTATTCTTTACTAGTCGAGACATTCGGATAGATTCCTCCATTTATTGAAGCTTTTTTAAGTAATTTTTATCCTCCGGTCACCTGAGTATCATAGCTTCTAGATCATCAACGGTGCATAAACAGATCTACATGATTTACAGGAGTAAAATCTAAGATTTTGACAACCAAACTTATTAGACATGCTGACTTCTTTAATCTCTCTCATAAAAATACACTTATTGTATGTTACCTTATCGATCGTAACTCTCTGTCTAAATCAGAAATAGTGTCTAAATTAGAAGGGGTGAACTGCCAACAGATGATGAGATAAATTTTGCCATCAATAATTAGTATGACGAGGAATCAGTGAAGATCTACCTAAAAATAAAAAAAAATCTCCACCTCTCATTTTCTTTCTAAAACTGCTATTCCCATAAGATTTGCAGGGCATGCAAACGGTTTTTTAACCCAATAGGGCAACCAGGAAAAAAATAGAAAAAATAAAAAAAGCAAAATATAAACATTTATTTTTGGATCTACGACATGTTCTACATTGCAAGTAGAACTCGTCACTTCGAGATGACGAGTTTCAGAAGATATTATTATTATTATATTTATGGTGTATTATTTAATTATTTCCTAAAGAACTCGTCACTTCGAGGTGACGAGTTTTATTAAAATAATATTATATTTTCCAATTATTTACTTTAAATTTAAAAGTAAAAAAATACGTTGGAACTCATCATAAGTTCCTTTGGTTTTGAATATGTTGTCGTTTAGAAATATTTGAAAAGTAGTTGTGTTAGCCATTGGAACTGGTCATATGGCGTGATGAGTTCCAACGGTCATTTTAATAATTTTTTACTATAAATAGAAGTGGGGTGAGTTGACAGAGTTGTATGAGAATTAAATCATGCATTTGTGGTAAGAATATTTAAGAATATTTTCGAAAGATCATTTTGGATATGATTACTCTGACATTAATGATTCAAATTCAAGCTCGTCTTCGAAGAAGAAGAAGAAGAAGAAAGAAAGAAAGAATGAATGAATGAATGAATGAATGAATGAATGAATGAATGAATGAATGAATGAATGAATGAATGAATGAATGAATGAATGAATGAATGAATGAATGAATGAATGAATGAATGAATGAATGAATGAATGAATGAATGAATGAATGAATGAATGAATGAATGAATGAATGAATGAATGAATGAATGAATGAATGAATGAATGAATGAATGAATGAATGAATGAATGAATGAATGAATGAATGAATGAATGAATGAATGAATGAATGAATGAATGAATGAATGAATGAATGAATGAATGAATGAATGAATGAATGAATGAATGAATGAATGAATGAATGAATGAATGAATGAATGAATGAATGAATGAATGAATGAATGAATGAATGAATGAATGAATGAATGAATGAATGAATGAATGAATGAATGAATGAATGAATGAATGAATGAATGAATGAATGAATGAATGAATGAATGAATGAATGAATGAATGAATGAATGAATGAATGAATGAATGAATGAATGAATGAATGAATGAATGAATGAATGAATGAATGAATGAATGAATGAAATAATGAAAGAATGAAAGAATGAAAGAATGAATGAAAGAATGAATGAAAGAATGAATGAATGAATGAATAAATGAATGAAGACTTTCCAAACCAATGCAGCAAACGACTTATTGAAAGGAATGAAAAAAAGAAAAAAAGAAAAATAATAATATAAAAATTGAGAGAAAGAATAAGATGAAAAGTTGTTTATTTTGTTGAAAAATTGTTTTAAATACATGTCTGAATTTGTGTTTAATTAAACGTTATTTATGAATAGTTTGCAATTATATATGAAAAGTTAAAAATAAAGATGGTTATTGATATTGATAAATTTTCTAAAATAGGTACAACACGAGAATACAATTACAAAAGTTTTATCGGCCTGGTCAATATTTTGGAAAATGTGGACAGTGCTTCTTGTTATGGCCTTTACCTCTGTAGTGGCCTTCACCTCTGCAGTGGTCACAAAGCTTTAGAAGACCTTGCTCTCATTGAGGATCATCCATATCAATATGAATTCAACTAGATTCAGGATGATCCCTCAACTTCCTTCTCAATTGTGGATTTGACAATCATTCTTCAGAAATAGTTGGTGACTAATATGTATCGTTTAGGAGATGTTTAAAGTCACTACTGTATATGTTGCGCATAGTATGTAGGCAATAACAATCATCAGTATGTGTATTTAAAGGCTTGTAATCGACCACAATCACATCATCTGCTATTCAAATTACCAGTGTATGTGGTAGAATTCCCACCCTCATATGGTCAAACAAGTTCTTGGACAATGTAATTAGAATCGAGTATGGAGAAATTATGAACAAACATTGATATTGCACGTCTTTGATTTTTGTTCATTACTTTCTCCAGATTTGGAGCCCAATTTATGCTTTCGTTAATCATTGTCTCTACTTGCGCTTCTTTGTCTACCTATACTTTACCTAATCTAAAGTAAGTCTCCCGAACAATACTTGCCACTGGAAGATGTCTAGTCCCATTAAATACTGAATTGATACATTCGACAAGATTAGTTGTCATATAACCATAACATCGACCTTGATCGTCTTATGCCAGTGATCATCTTTTCTGCGGTATTTCAGCTGCAAAGTTATAAACCTCTTCTCCATCTTTCCTCAGATTTTCCAACCTTGCACAGAAGTTTGGTTGTAGTAAAGCGTATCCTGAAAAAAAGTTGAATTTAAGTACAATAATAAATGAAGAACATATATGAAAGAAAAAAGAATAAGTTACATATGTTAATAATCTCTTTCTTGATCTTTTTATTCTTAAACCTCGTCATAGCATTGGAAGCAATATAACATATGTAATATGCCAGAAATTTATGGGGAGGCGACCATCTGCTTCCCAATTTTTTAATCGCGGACAACAACTCAGATGAAAGGTCTGAGATCATATAAACCCCATATTGAGTGAAAACATGAGAATACAAGTTGGACAGAAAGAAATTTCAACTCATTTTTAATAATGATAAAGGCAATGCAGAATATGTTTTTGTTACCATCTTGTGCAACAACTATTGTAACATCCCAAAAGTCGGGTGATTGACCAAAATAGAATTTTGGTAAATTTAGTGACTAATTTCAGAAAAGTCTGGAAGTGGGGACTTAAATGAAAAGTGTTGACGTTGGATTTAATAACAAAGTTTGAAAGTAATAAGGGTATTATGGTTATTTTCTAGGGAAGATTTTTATTTTCCCTTTATAAAGGGTAATAAGCACGTGGGAAAGGAGATAATTTCTCCAGACCCTTCTTCAGTCTTCTTCTTTCTCCTCTCCACCGTGAAATCATGTATAAGGTAAGTGGGTCTTCAGTTGGTTAATTCTTTCGTTTTAAAGCTTGTTTTGATTCTTGGGATGTTAAGAAAGATTAAGGAAAGCTTTATGTGGCTTAAAACTCAAAGATGAACAAGTTATGAGAAATTAAGAAAAATGAGTTTTTAAGTGAATATTTGAAATAGAAGGAGTTAATAGAGTTTGAAGATGAATTTGACTTGTCGATGGTTAAATTAAGGAATATGAAGTGTTAGAATTAGATTTAGAACATGTTGGAAATTGAGTGTAATTCTTGAATGCCATATAAAAGATAGGATGTTGAGTTTAAAGAAGTGATTATTGAGTAGAAATGAGTTTAAGTGTTTGTATGAAAGTTAGGAATATTAAAGGAGGTGAAAGATGAAGAGTTGAGATGAAAATAGAGTGAATTTTGTGCATAAAATGGAATTTCTGGGTTGTGTGCATCGATGTATCTTCAATGTGTATCGATACACTCTCAAATAAATGAACATGGAATGCAATTAGTGCATCGATGCATAAGAAGTGCATCGATGCACCCCCTTAAATACAAACATAGAATGAGATTTATGTACCGATGCATAGATAGTGCATCGATGTACCCGTCAAGGAATGCATCGATACATGGTGTAGTGCATCGATGCATACCTTCATTAAAAGATAAAAATAACTTTCTTTTTAGCCTAAGGAGAGTAATAATTTAAAATATATTAATTCGTATGCTGATATGTATCAATGTATTACTATGTAGATTTAGAACATAATCTTGTTCCAGAACAATCGAAAGATTAGGATCGAGTCAAAGCAAGCAAGGCTAAGGTGAGTGTGTATTAGATGGTATATTATGATGAATGGAAATAAGACTTGCGACAAGTCTATTTCCTATAATAGCATACATATAAGCATGTTATTGATATGGGCATAATTGTGATATATTATTGTATATGTGGTATGATCTGTGTGAATTTATGTTATTGTTATGTGATTAAGATATCAATCATGTGATAATGAATTGTATGGATATATGGAAGGTGAAGTAAGCTAAAGTATGTGAACATACGTATATAAGATAAGCCATGTAGATATGATTTATAAGAGTATAAGTGATATGATTGTAAGATTTTAAGAGATAAGCCATATGATATGAGTGATATGATAAGAACCTATGTTTATGTGATATGACTATGTGAATATAGGGTAAACATAATAATGATGCCCATGTTACGTGACATGAGAGCTAGAGGTATAGTTGGCATGCCAAGAGTCGAGGGTTCTACGTGGTCATTCGGGACATATATGTAATTCTGTGGAACATATATGTGGTACTTCGGTACACTTATTTGGTCCATTGTATTATGTGTATGGTTCTTAAGTAGTGGTCATTCGGGATAAATCAGTGGTCCTTCGGGACATAGTGGTCATTCGGGACAAATATACAGTGCCCCTAGTGGGAATTTATTCGAGCTGTGGTGACAGCATCAATGCACAACCTCAATGAACTCACATATCTTTAGTTCTCCAAGATGTACATGGGCCAATAAAGAAATAATATACATAAACTTAACAT